GAAGACAAGGACAATAACTTTCTTTAATAATTCTTAATATAAATGGTCTCAATTCACTAGTCGAGACAGATTGGTAAAATGGATCAATAAACAAAATCTAATGGCATGCTATTTACAAGAAACACATGTAAGCCAAAAAGAAATTAATAGACTGAAAGTCAAAGTACGGAAAATAATATTCCACATAATAGAAACCCTAAAACAAGCAGCAGCAGCTATCCTATTTTGAGACAAAGGGGACTTCAAGCTAAAACTGACAGAGGCAAAGAAGGTCACTACATATTATTATTGCTTAAGGGAACACTTCAATAGGAAGAGAAAACAATCACAAACATATGTACACTGAATACCAGCCTACTTAGCTTTATAAAAAAACTCTACTGGACATAAAAGATCAGATACACATCAACACAATTATAGTAGAGGATCTCAATACCCCATTCTCAGAAACAGATAGATCAACTAGATAAAAACATCAACAAAGAAATATAAGAGTTGAGCCAAGCCTTCAACAAATGAACTAATATTCAGAATGGTGCACCCAACAAGAGAATATATATTCATCTCAGAAGCACATTGAGTTTTATAGATGAAATAGACCACCTACTAGTCAATAAAGTGTGCTTAAGTAAATGTATAGGAATTAAAACTATTTTGTGCATACTATCAGATCATAGTAAAGTAAAACAAGAATCAACAGCAAAAGAAACCACAGAAATATAAACACATAGAAACTAAACAATATATCTTGAATAATCAATGGACAAAATCAAGGAAGAAATTAGTTCCTAGAATTGAACAATAAAAATGCCAGCACAATTTACCAGAATTTATGGGACATGATAAAAGCAGTCCTAAGAAAGAAGTTCAGAGTTGTGAATGCCAACATCACAAAGACAGAGAAGGCCCAAATAAGTAACTTAATGATGCACCTCAAGACTCTAGAAATACAAGAACAATCCAAATCTAAAGTTAGTAGAAGTAAGGTAATTATATAAACTGGAGCATAAATTAATGATATTGAGACTACAACAAAGAAAGAGTCAAGGAATTAAAGAGCTGGTTCTTTCAAAGAATAGAAACCCTTAGCCAATGTTTCCCAAAATTACACAAATCAATGTAATTAGAAATGAAAAAGCTGAACTCACAACAGACACTGCAAAAATTCAGAAGGTTATTAACAACTACTTCAAAAACCAATAACGGGAGAACCAAGAAGACATGAACAGATTTCTAGATGCATATGAATTATTAACACTGAACCAAGAAGCTATTAAAAACTCTGAATAACCTAGTGACAAGTAATGAAATTGAAGCAGTAATGATGATTAGAAAAATACTACCAACTAAGAAAAGTGCAGGTACCAATGGATTTACTGCTGAGTTGTACAAGAACTTCAGGGACAATCTAACACCATTAATCTTCATATTTTAATGAAATTGAAAAAGGAATGAGTATTCCTTAAGTCATTCCTGGAAGCAAGCATTATCCTGATTCCAAAGCAACCAAAAAAGAGAATTACAAGCCAATCTCTTTATTGAATATAGATGCAAAAATCCTAAGAAGATACTGGCAAATAGAATGCAACAAGTCATCAAAAAGATCATTAGCATATAAGGAAGAACTTAAAGGTTTCCCTCTAAAATCAGGAAAAAGACAAGGATATTAACTATTACCACTCCTATTCAATACAGTACTCAAAACTTTAGCCAGAGCAATCAGGCAAGAGAAAGAAATAATAAAAGGGATGTATATAGGAAAAGAAAAAATCAAATTATTGTTTGCAGATGCCATGATCCTTACATAGACGATGCAAAGAATTTCACCAAGACCCCTAGAATAACCAAGTTCAGTAGCACAGTATGATAAAAGATCAAATTAAAAAGTTTCTGGGGGCCGGGGAGATGGCTCAGTGGAATAAGCACTTCCCTGGCAAGCTCAAGGGCCTGAGTTCGATCCCCGGTTCCACAAAAAAATAAATAAATAAATACAAAATAAAAAGCTTCTGTAGAGCAAAGAAAACAACCAAGAGTGAAGAAACAACCTATAAAATGGAAAAAAAGCCAGCTATCCCACAAACAAAACTAATACATAGAATAAAGAACTAAAAAAAAAAACCAAAAAAGGTGACCCTCCCCCAAAATAAAAGACCCAGTCAAAAAAATGGCCAACTGAAATGAAAAGGCATTCAGAAGAAGTAAAAATGGCTAATAAATTCTTGAAAATATATTCAACATCTCTGGCTATTAGAGAAATGCAAATTAAAACAGCACTGAGATTTTGTCTTACTGCAGAAAGCATGGTTATCATCAAGAAATCAAAGAATAACAAATGCTGGTGAGGCTGCTGGGAAAAAGAACCCTTCTGCCCTGTTGGTGGGAATGTAAAGTAGTGGACTCATACAATATTTATCCTGCTGTGTCTGGCACCTTTCACTTAGCACAACACTTTCAAGAATTGTAGAACACATTAGAATATTGTAGAATATATTAGAACTCCATTTCTTTTAATAACTGAGTAACATTACACTATGTATATATCTTATTTTATCCTTTTCTCTTTTTTCTCCTGATTCTAGAAAGAAATTTAAAAAATAAAAATCAAATAACTTTATTTTTGTTCTTTTATGTATTTGGTACAGGTTCTCACTATGCAGCTCAGACTCCTAGTGAGCCTCTGTTTTCAGCCTCCCCAGTGCTGGGATTACACACGTGCAACACAATGCCCAGATTCAGTCATGGGCCCAGCATGCCCTGGGGATAGGGCCCATGCAGCATGCAGGACCAGGAATCAAACTTCTGTCCCTGTACTTGCCAAAGCAGGCACGTAGTCTGCTGAGCTCTCTCGCTGGCCCAATAACTTTTTCTTAAGCAAAGACTGGTTATTGGGGCTGGGGAGATGGCTCAGTAGAATAAGCACTTTCCTGGCAAGCTCAAGGGCCTGAGTTCAATCCCCAGTTCTGCAAAAAAAAAAAAAAAAAAAAAAAAAAAGGACTGGATATTGAAAAAGCTGCAATTTATATTAATAAGTTATAGTACTTTATAGTTGAATGGGTTTTACAAATATTACCTCTGATTATTTCTAAATTTATCTTAAAAGATCATCCTTTTAAAGTACATAGTACAATGTCTGGTGTATAGCAAGCACTCAAAAAATTTAGCAGCTCTAGCGCAGTCTCTTAGCTTTCTGTTCCTACAATGAACACATGAGGAAAGTTGTTCTGTGGCACAAGTGGGGGTTCCTGTGTGGGGCTGGCTGGCCCTCTGAGCATAGGGTAGTAGTTCATCAAGGTGAGAGCATGGGGGGCGGGGCGCAGCTCATGGCACGGGGAGCAGAAAGAGGGTGATGAAGGTCTTGGGCAGAGCTTCCGTGCTACCTCCTCCACTTGGGCACTGCCTGCCAGAGGTTCCAACACATCTCTGCATGTTATGGGAAGGGGACCAAATCTTCAGCACTTGGGCCTCTGCAGACATTCAACATGGAAACCACAGCATAATACTTTTTGGTACTGGGGATTGAACTCAGGACCTTGCACTTGCCAGGCAGGTGCTTATGATGCTGAGCTATCTCCCCAGCCCCACATCATAATACTTTTTAAAATGAACTGCTTTCAAGACTGATCGTGGTAGTTGCATGTGCCTGTAACCCCAGCGCTTAGGAGGCTGAAAACAGGAGGATCACTACGAGTCTGATCTTCATAGTGAGACCCCATAGACCCTGTATCCCCTGTACTAAATGCATAAAAGAGAAATAAATTGCTTTCAACATTGAGTGTAATCGCAATGTTTTAGCACAGTATTATTTCACGCCTTTGCAATAGAATTTAGTTATTTTAGAGTCAAGTGACCGACATTTATAGGACAACTACTGTGTGCTGGGAACTATTACAGAAAGGAAGACTTTACAGATTATCCAACTCCAGCCATCAGTTCACCAGGGGAAAAGCTGAGGCGCAGAGCGCGCCAAGTGATTTGCCCGTGCTCATGCTACCGCTACGCAGGACAGGTTCTGTTCCTACCATCTCTCTCCACATGGCAGCATTTGACAGATGCATGTGACTCGATCAGTTTACTCTGGGGGAGGGGACTGTGCCCATTGTAGTGAAGTATGTCCATAGATCATCCCTGCAAAAAATGGGGATCTCCTCCCCTTGATGATGGAGTAGACTTAGAGAACTGTTTATAATGAGTGGAAAAAAGGTGGCCGTGGCAGAGTGTGACTTTGAAGACTGAGTCACAAAAGGTACCACAGCACCCTGCCTACTCTCTCTCCAGATTATTGCTTGGGTGGTGTCACTATGACAGTGACTCTCAAGTAGCCCATGCTGATGTCTGCTCTCCCGGCAAGGACAAGACTGCACCCAGAGGAGACCCTGAGCCAGAAGCCCCCCGCTTTTCCAGTCCTTGCCCTCGTTGAGGGTCAGGTAGATGAAATGAAAACTCTTTTAGGCTGCTAGATTCAGAGGTAACTTATTACACAGCCAAAGAAAACAAATGCATTCTCTTCTTAGCACTTTGGTTGCACACCTACCCTTTCTGGACCTCCCATCACACCCTATCTTGTAATGCATATTATAGACACATTACAGACACACTTTAACTGATCTTATTGCTATCATTGAACAGATTTATTGATATGTCACATACCATAACATTGGAAAATTTAAAAATTGTGGTAAAAATCCCCATTTTGCCATTTTTAAATGTACAATTCAATAACATTAAGTCACTCACAATGCTGTGTAGCTATCCCTATTGGCTACTTCCAGAACTTTGTCATTATCCCAATGAAGGCCCACATCCATGGCAGACATCGTTTTGAAAATATTAATTTTATTTGTCTCTCAAATCTGGAGCAATCATAGTTAATGATTAAGTACAACTTTATTTAAAGGTAAACACGTTTGGAAAGAACATTAATACTTCAAATGACAATGTGAATCTTTTCATCTTGGGTGGAATAAGAAAATCTAATGAGCTCTAGTCTATTATGGATAAAATACAACCTCAATATATAGTTGTAAAAACAAAATTGCTATTTAGAACTCTAAATCCACTGAACGTGGAACATGCCCAGTGTACACAGCAATTAAGGACAACCAAGGAATTGGGGACAGCTGTGGAGGGCACAGCAGGGAGAGCCAACAGGTGTCCGCTGGTGGTGACCTCCAGTCTTAGAATACTAACAATGGGAACACTAATGGAAAGAAAACAGGACAACCAGGCTCAAGTTAGCCCCTTCTATCTGCTCCAGGCCTTAGAATGAGATGGCATTTGCCAAGCTGTCTGCCAACTCAGCAGCTGGGCTAAGGCTGGAACAGATGTCACTAGTTCTAGCACCATTTCCTTCCAGTGGTCTTGTTTCAGTATAATGCAAGGTGACTGTGACCAGGCAACAGCACGACTGAACCCAAAGATGACTATGTGATTAGGATGTGAATCCTACTATTTTGTGGTATTAGTTTCTGGTGTCCTATGAAGAGTAGAAATGAAGCTCATTGACAGGAGAGCCTCTTGTCAGGGCCAGCTCCCTTCTGTCCTGTGGAGAGGACACAGTAGCCCTACTTCTGCACGTTCTATGACTGCCCAGCTACACGACAGTGAACAGGGCAGCAGTATTTGGAAGACAATGATGTTACCCATGTATTCAGGGCCCCGTCTGAGCAGCTCTCCTGGTGGGAGCTTTTCTCCTTGCTCATTTGCTCATTCATTTATTTTAAAACATGTGCTGTCCTCTGTGTCCTACATGTGGGCCCCAGCACGGATAAGCAGTGAGCTAAGCCACAGAACTAGTGGAGAAAGCATAGTGTTTACTTTCTCTGAGTGTGACACTCTGCAGCTAATCTGAACTCCCCACCTTAGCAGGATGTTGGTGGGCCTCAGAAAGGACTGCAGGTTCAACTGTACATACGCTTTCCCTAACTGCAGGTCCCTAATTCAGGCAGAGACTGACAGACACGGAGGCAAACCTCTGCTGTACCCCGGCCAAGTGTCCCCCTTATTTCAGGAAGAAATGGCCCTTCCTGGGGTTGTTCATTAATGCCCAGAATAGAGTGCAGCTGACACTGAGTGAGGAGAGGGTGCCACGGTCACGATGGTGAGTTTTCATCAATTTAGGAAAAACCTCGCTGGGCAGATCCAGGACAGATCCAGGTGCCCCCCAGCCCTCCAGGGCTCCTGGGGCCCTCCAGGGTGTGATCACAGTGACCCAGCCACATTCTCCGGGCAGTGTTGTGGCTTCTACATTAGGACCAAGAGAAGCCAGGGCTCAGCTCAGCAACTGCTTGGTGTGGGGAGGCAAGGCAGCCTTCCCCAACACCAGACGCTGGAGTCAAGGGGAATGGCAAGACGACAGCCTCAGGGAGCTGGGGGTGGCGGGAAGTCTAGACAGAATGAGCAATGGCTGGGGAAAAACTCAGATAAAAACACATTTCTTTATTGTAAGAACGCAAACCAAGATGTTGGCACATAGCCACACTGGCCTTTAAGAAATGGGCCTTCCACTCTGCGATGAGATACGTGGGTGAGGGGTAAGTTGAGGGGGCCATTACCCCTTGCCAGTGGGAGAACCCCTGGCCAGCAAACCCAACAACTGCTCCCTACATTTGTTACAAGAAATGTGAGTCACTCCAATAAAACCCGCTGTTGGCAGAGGGAGCTGTAACATCTGACTTATGAGGTAAAAAGAGCCAGCTGCTCTAGCCCCCAGGACTGAAGGAGAACGTCCAATGTCAAGTCCCCAGCTGTCCCACAGCTGGGAAGAGGGGATGAGCGAGCCAGCCACCCGCCTGCAGACTCAGCCTGGGTCAGCAGCGCCAGTGTTCAAGCAGTCATGGTCTGAGAACCAGGGGTTGAAAGTAGACTCCCTGGTGTAGTCTGGGAACAAGAGAAGGGCCAAAGGGGAAGGGGTTGAATAGGGAGAGAATAAACGGGCTGAGAGGCCACAGAAGTCAGAGCCTGAAGTCCAGCCTGTGACAGAAAGACAATCCTGCCTCCCTGAAGTCTTACATCCAGGGGCCCCAGGCACCAGTGGCCTTGGGGTCACAGCGGGGGTCCTGCTCTGGATAATGCACAGGCACTGAATGTTTCTGATAGAACTGCAGCCGGCCCAGGAGCTGCCTGACGAGGTGGGGGTGTTCTCCAGACAGGTCGTGCCTTTCTTCCGGGTCCTGGTCAATATCAAAGAGCCACAGGGTCTTGGCTGGGTGGTCTGATGAATGCACCTCAGAAATACCATATTCAGATGGTGGGGGGAACCAGGATCCACAGCCTGAGGAAGAAATGAGACTTACTGGTGGAGCAGCATTGTTATAGGCAGGATCTGACTGCAGAGAGCCCAGGGAGGGGCCCCGCAGTCAGAGTGTGGACCAGTTCACAGTATGCAGCCCTCAGGCTGTCTCTAGATTGGTCTCACAATCTGGCTTCAGGTTGTTGAAAGACACACTTTGCTGCTTACAACCAGGAACACCCAGAAATGTGCATGTGAGTGCAAGGGGATGTTTAGTTGTCACAGTGAATGGGAGTTAGGGTGCTCCTGGTAGTTGGTGGGCATGGACCAGGGCTGCTAAAATATCTTGCAATACATGCGACAGTCCCAAATGATGAACTACCTTGTTGAAAATTCACAAAATACCAAAAAATAATATGCCACTATTAACATCTTCTGTTTCTTTCTGTCCTGGGCATGGATTTGGGGACCAGGTGCATCAAGCTGCATCCCCAGCCCTTTCCCAATCTCAGCAATGCAGAGTGCACTGCAGCCTTCACCACCTCACCTCATGCTGACAAAGGCTTCAAGGGACTCATGGAAGGAGCTGAGTCCCCAGCTATACTGCAGGGGAGGGTGTAGCTCTCAGGGACTCTCTGCTAACTGGCTGTGTTGTTTGATTGCCACACAGACCCCAAGCCCATATTCTCCATGAAGTGTTTCCAGGGGCATTTCTTCCTTTCATACCCATTACAGCTAATTCCCAACTTCTGTTCATGTGCTTGCTTTTTTTTGGCAGGACCAATAGATGAAACTACTTCTTTTCATCTTGAGACACAACAACAATGGAACCTGTGGACTTGGGAACATGCTGAAACTTAAAAGTAGGACTAGCAACCCCTGAGTAAACATGTTATGATGCAGATCAAGAAGGATTATGCAAGACCATTTCAGCGGGCTGAACAAAGTGAGAGGAGTGGGGGGGGGGCGCAGGAGTCTTTGAGGAGATGGGCAGTGATTAGAACACGAGGGATAATGTCTTCTTTTTTGAGAGAAATGGCCAAAAAAATAGAACACCAAAAGCATGGTTAGGCTGGTGAAGAGCCCTAGGACACAGGACAACCAATGACACTGTAGGAAGGGACATCAGTTAGGCTAAGCATGCTACCTGGGAAGCCCGTGAGGAGTTTCCAATTTCTGTGTCTGATTGCAGCATGGACAGACGTGTTAAAGGATGAATATTCTAGAAGAGAAGAATCATCTTTTGCTGGAGCCGCACTATTTCTGGGACCTGGGAAGAAACAGTTTGTAAGAGTTAGATTGCTGTTATTGGAACGTGGAGTTATAAATCAGCATTTTTATATCCTTCCTGCCGAACAGTAGCTCGTATTCAACACTGGAGTGCAAATGTGTGTCCTGCCACAGAAATGGATCTTTTATTAAATATAAACAGAAAGCTATAGTTACATTAACTGTCAGTCATAAACCACCACAAATATAAAGGAAATCCCAAAGAGATTAGAATACTAATTCATCCTTAAAATCACTGTGCTTTGCCAACGTGCAGCTGGCCACGTGCAGAAAAGCCTTCTGCTGAAGCACAATGAGTTGGCTTTCAGTGTTTGTTTTTGGCTTATTTTGCTTGTAAATGTATAAATTATATTTACTGTGTATATGTATAGCAAATTATAAAATACACATTTAATGGAGTCTATCTCAATCTAAGAAAATTCTTTTTCCTCTCCTCTCCTCTCCTCTCCTCTCCTCTCTTTTCTTTTTTTCTTTGTTTCTTATGGGAATTTAATCCAGGCCTCATACTTGCTGGGCACATGCTTCACCACTGAGAGAAATGGCAGACATTTTTTTGATTTTTAGACAAGGTCTTGCTAAGTCATGTTCCTCCAGCTTCAGCCTCCTAATTAGCTGGGATTACACATGTGTACCACTGTGTTTGGATATAATAT